GAGAGAATTTTGCTAACCTGTTTCTTGGTACTGGAGTTTTGATTGGATTGCGCCACAGAAGTGAGTAGTGTGTTTGTAATCAGTTGGCATTTTAGTATCATCATTTCGTTTTCCAGCATGAAATTATCAGGAATCGCTTGCTGTTAGATCGCTCAGAAATTATGTATTATTTTTCGTAGATCGAATAAAAAACAATTAAAAAGATTATACGATTCCGTGTCCAATCAATTACTCGCGGGCCATTTTCCTCCACGATCCAAATTTATCTCCGGACTCTATCTTTGAGTGTGTTGGTGACAATGGTCAGTTAGGGACCCGTCATAAAGTAGGGGGGTGGGCTACTAGTTTTTAACACGTTAAAAAAGGGGGGGTCAGGGAAAAAAATTGCACTGCATTAGGGGTGGGTCGTGTTAAATTATTCACATATCACCACAAACGTTAGTAGAATATGTTTTTTAATAATATATCTAATTTTCCACCTCAATCCAACTTTATATAACAACAGGAATTCACATATTGTATATTTTGTTTCCATTTATGTACAGTCATAAATCTACAGAGTAGTCAGGAAACGTTTTAAAGTATAAAATCTCGAACACTAATTAGCTTTACTGTGTGCTCAGAAACCTTCACTTTATATATCATTTCAAATATCTTTTTACACAGCTTCTCCTATAAATCAAATCATCTTTTAATAGTCATCTTCACCACTACCATCACCCTCAGAAGAATTATTATCCTCCTCCTCATTCTCATTATCATCATCATCATCATCACTATCATCTATAGCACACAATACAACTTGTGACACTTTTGCTTTGATTGTTTCATTAGCATCCACTGTAAATTGACCTTTACTTAGTAATAGTTTTAGCCAGCAACCATCTCTCTTTTTTAAGCTGTTGAGGCCTATCACTGTACAATGATTAGAGGTTATCACATCACCATAAGATGACAAGTGACTGATTGCAGAGAACACTCTCTCACAATTTTGCTCTGCTCTTTCACGGTGTCGCTTCCTGGCTTTTGCTTTATTTTCTTTCACTCTTCTCTTCTTTGAGACAAATGTTTCTTTTGCAAAAGGATACATCCTTTGGTGCTTTTCTTTTTGGGCCTATGTTCTAGTCAAAGTCTGATCAATGTTGCACTGCAATTCTGCAATCCTTCCCAAACATTTTCATTAAATCATTGCCCACACTCTTGTCCACTGATGATTTTCCCAGATTTTTTAGTGAACCACTGGGCATTCTCTTTCTGGATGCTACTCTTAAGCTTCTCAGAGTTCTCCTTCAAATCCTGAAGTTTTTTAATCTTGTAATTAATTGCATGGTGGCTTGTAGGCTTTGATGGTTCCTCCTCTGAATCCCTTTCTTGAATTGCTGCTTGCAATGACATAGCTGACAGCTGGCAGTGAAGGTCATACTTGCATCTGCCTTCAGAATGGAATTTTTTCACAACAGCTTGTGCATTTCTTGACCACTTCCATTGACATTCTTAAAAAAAGGGTGGGACATCTTCATTAAGAAATTTAGCTCGTGCTGATTGGGGATTTGGAATAAAGCCAAACTTCTTTTCTTTCTAAGATGTTCTGACTAAAGTGGTAAGCCAATTTTCCCCATGTAGCTATCCACATTACTGATTTTAGTTGAGGGGTGGGTCAGTAGGTTTTTCTGTGCCACTCCAGGGGTGGGCCGCTCCAATTTTGTCAAATAACGTGGGGGTGGGCCACTGAAAACTAGTACTTTACAGAAAAATTTCATAGCCCCCACCCCCCCCTTTACTTTATGACCGGTCCCGTAGCTTACATTCAGTATCACCCACTCAAGATCGAGAGCAAACTCTGGTTTATTTGTCATCAGGAACCAGAAACAGTTTATCAATTACTTTTTGGTTACTCATTGGTACTAATTATGAATTGTGGAGATAATGTTTTACTGATATTGATTGTTAAATTAAAGCTAATTGTTTTTTTGGGGGGGCTTCAAATGTGGAGGATTGGCCAATACACTGATTCTTTTTTTTGCCACACTGCTTATTCAATAATTGGTGAGGTCCAGGTATAGTGGCTATCACAAGTTGCCAGTATGGGAAAAAATTCCATTGATGTAAAATAAAAATGTTTAAAGGGAAGAGAGGTTTAAGGATTCATTACGGGTCAAAACAGGATTTACTTATCTTTTACAAAGGAATAAGGAAAGACAGGATAACAAACTTGGAAAATTTTTAACAGACCAGTGTTTAAATCTAATTTATTACTGTTAATCATATTTATATGGCTGTGTCTCACAAGGACTGGGAACTACCGAATTNTACTGCTGAGGATATACTCATTTTATACCTGTGGAACAGTATAATGATATAGTCTACATGTAGTTAAATATTACTTTTCTTATGGTCTTAAACTGCTCTAGTGAAGTGACAGCATTTCAAAGTTTTTACAATATTCTACTAAGCTACACTCATGCATAACAATTTAAATCAGATACATTTACAGCTTCATTTACATACTGTTCATTCTGAATGTAAAGTTCAATTCATTTAATTTAAGATCCAATACAACATGATCGTACATGCAGGTCTCAGCTTTGGCTCCATGCACTTTACTTTTACCATGTGAAACCAGTTACATTATTGCTAAGCTAACAAGCTGTGTACACTAAGATATTTAGCTTTGTTCACTTACCTAAAATGGCATAATTTATACAACATCCTTTTATCAAGTTAGTTCTTACATGTCACATTGAAACATTTATTAATCATTAGATGTGTTCCTGTGTGTAAAAACGCATTCATACTGCCAAGATATATTTATTTCATGCTGTGTGGGTTAGTGAAATCAGTTCTTAGGTACAAATCTGAAACATCTATAACAAGTAGTCTGAGGCCACAAGACATTTGGAAGGTTTTGTAGACAGTCAACTGGCATTCTCTGGGTATATCATAAATTGGTAGCTCCTCTCCATAGTTCCACACCTTTAGCACCACAAGCTGCATGAGTCTCAGAACTTGTCTGTCACATGTAGTCCTGATAACTCCCTTAATCCCTGTTGGGTTAAATGACCTTTGTCCCTCCAGTGTGAATGTTCCCTAGGCAGAATGTTCTCAACAAATGTTACTGAGGCCTGTTTGGATAACTGACCCGTTATCATTAGCTAAAGATACAGTTGAGAAAGGTTGAACTGTCTTTCAGAGAAAATATTGTGAACTGAAAGACTTAAAATGTGCTTGGCACAGAACTCAAACAGGTTTGGAGTGGATTCTTTACTTATGAGTGACCTCTGAGTAGATGAAGCCATTTCTTTGATCTCACTCAGCAATTGCAGTTCCTTTAGTTTCCAAAGAGTGGCCCATTTCATTAATCCAACTCTGTCCTGAGACACAAATGTAAGAATGATCTGTCCATAAACATGACTGTCACAGGGATTGTTCATTGACTTTTCTTGTTGATTTTCAGATCTGACGTGAATTTCAAGAAGCTTTAAAACNCATCAACATTTCACTTAAAGTATCATGGTGTTTCAGAAGAGTCGCTGGCCATAGCCATGTTAGGTAACCAGTGGAAAATCCAAGTTCTGCATTGCTAGCTTGGGATGTATTCAGAGATGGGGTGATAAACTTGTTGAGGAATACAAAGTAACGAAAAGTTGATTTCAACTTGAATCATAGGACTGGACCTCATCTCAATGAAGTCTTGCCAAATAGTGTGGTGGCAGTTTAATTTTGGCGATGTTTGAAGGAGATGCTCAGCAGGCTGTAAACAAGCTTCACCATACTGAAGATACCACTGGAGAGTTTCATGACAATATGTCCACCATGTGTCAATGAATGTCATAGGAAGGGTTGGCTCTTTACTGCGAATACCTAGAGAAACATACATAACTTTGTATTGGCTCGGAAGCTTATGATGGAGCCAAGATATTTTACATAGTAATTGTAAAACATGGGAGTTCCTCATGTCACCCTTTGCCCCAAACCCAGCCTTTCTTCTCAGCATAATGTTTAGTATATGTGGGTAGCATATCCTACAAAAAACATTTCCTTTTACAAAAATTTTAGCATTGTTTACTAAAAGACCATTTACTTTTCTCTTTTGGGTCCCCAACCAAGCCCAACACATTGGTAATATCTTATTAATTTTTTTACAACATTGTACTCTGCATCAAACTGGTGTTTTCCAGACCCACCTGCAGTTAGGCTTTTTGCAAAAGGACACAGGCGTGAGGCTTGTTATCTATTGGGCACCAGGTCAGAGCATCCACTGTGTGCCCCTCTTCTCCTCCTTTGTTGGAGTCATCACTCTAGAGATGAAAATCCTACTTGAAATTTGAAAAGTGCTTGCGTAAAATTTAGTTTGTTGGCTTCACGCATGAGAACATTCCAGTCAGAAAGTGTAGTTGGGGAGACAATGAACTTTGTTGGGGGGCTACAATCAAACAAAATATTGAAAATCAGATGTAATGCTACAGATGTCTTTTGATGAGATAACAAAGATGTATACTGCATATGCCTGACACAAGCTATAAACATGAAAGTTCTTTGGTTGTGTTCATTGTGACCATATGCAAATGTCTCCACAAGGGAATACCCCTCTTTGACTATCTCACT